CTCTCTTTTTATAGTAACCATCCTAATTTTTTAAGTTGAGATATGTTTGATTTACAATATTGTGTTAGTTTCATGTGTCAGCAAAGTGATTTCTATTTTTCTGTTCTTTTTTCTATTCTTTTCCATTACAGTTTATTACCAAATATTCAATATAGTTCCCTGTGCTATACAGTAAGTCCTTGTTGTTTATCTATTTTATATATGGTAGTGTGCATCTGTTAATACCGTGCTCTCAATTTATCCCTCCCAGCTTCCCCCTTTGGTAACCATAGGTCTGTTCTCATGTCTGTGGGGCTATTTCTGTTTATGATACAGAAGAATAAGTTCTTCTGTATCATATTTTAGATTCCACATATAAGTGATATCATAAACTTGTCTCTTTTCACTTAGTATGATAATTTCTAGATAATTTATAGATCCATCCATATTGTTACAAATGGTATTGTTTCATTCTTTTCTGTGGCTGAGTAATATGTCATCACATATATGCACCACAACTTCTTTATTCATCCTTCTGTTGATGGACACTTAGGTTGTATTCGCTACTGTAAACAGTGATGCTATGAACATTGGAAGGCATGTATCTTTTCAAATTACTTTTTACCTTTTCCAGATATATGCCCAGGATGGGATTGCTGGATCATATGGTAGTTCTATTTTTAGCTTTTTAAGGAACATCTATACTGTTTTCCATAGTGACTATACCAATTTATATTCCTACCAACAGTGTAGGAGGGTTCCTTTTCTCCACACCTTCTCAAGCATTTATTATTTGTAGACTTTTGATAATGGTCATTCTGATCAGTGTAAGGCGATACTTCAATGTGGTTTTGATTTGCATTTTTCTAATAATTCGTGATACTGAGCATATTTTCATGTGCCTGTTGGCCATCTGTCTTGTCTCCTTTGTAGAAATGTTAAATTAGTTCTTCTGCCCTAACCATCCTATTTTTTAAATAGAACCTGAATAAACTCCCCATGTACATGTTCAAAAGTCAAACAATTGAGTACATCCAACTAGAGAAGACTTGGAGACTAATGTAGGATTATTAATTACAGACTTCCTTGAAGGGTGGAGGATGCCTCCTGCTCTCTCAATACCACACTGAGTCTCCTCCATCTCCTCTGTGGACCTCATGCTACTTCCTTATCATCCCTTTCCAAACATCCCTCTCTCATCTGACTTGCCCTGCTGGGTCCAGCCTCCACAGGAAGCAGAGTCTGGTCTCCATCTACTTCTCTTTCTTGGAAAGCAGTTGTCTGGAATTCTGGTGAGTATATCTCTTCATTTTGTTAGACAGATAGTGAAAATCACTTGGCACACAGTAAATAATAAATGTACCTAATCTTCTAGTACTTACCTCATGGGGTGTTGTGAACATTGAGTACATAAATGCACACACAGTTCTTAGAACACTTAAGTGCTATCTGAGGTTAGCTGTTATTATTGTGTTGGTCATATTGGGGAGCCTAGTTTGTCAGGACTTAATCACTTTTGAGCAAGAGATGCTGCCAACAACTTTGGGTCCAGGTGACCACTTAGAGGAAAGTCACCTTGAAGCAGATAATCTTTGGCTTTTCCAGAACTTTAAAGTGTTCCCTTTAAGGATGTAAATGTAAGGTGATTCGTACCATCGCGGTGGGGAAATGGAATGACAGAGCTTTTGTAGGCTGACAAAATCTTATACTCTTCATAGGAGAAGGAGATAAACAAATCTATACAGGGCTCAAGGAACCTTTTTTTTTTTTCTTTTTTTTTGCCACACGGCCTGTGGGATCTTAGTTCCCTGACCAGGGATCAAACCAGCATAACCTGCATTGGAAGCACAGAGTCTTAACCACTGGACCACCAGGGAAGTCCTCAAAGAACCTCTTAAAAGAAAAGGAGTGAGAGAGAATCCTTTCCTCATGAGAGTCTGTGTTAATAACAGGACCTCTATGTGAGATTTGTGAGGTTCTGACTGACTCGGCTGACAGAATCTGAAACGGCTCTAGAGGGAACTCTCTGAGAAGAAGGGCCCCCTGGGCTGGTGGGGCAGGGTCCGGGGGCTCCGTGGGAGGCGGGGACGAAGGCAGTGAAGAGTTCTGGGTTCTGCCTGCCTCTGGCAGCCCCTCTGAACTAGAAGCATCCCACCACAGCAGTGGAGAAGAAGTAACCAGTGACCCTACAGCCATGTCTGGCGGCTAGTTTATTTGGAACTCCCTGTATGTCCATAGTTTTTCGCTTCTGAAAGAGACACTAGAACCTGAGAATCTTTCAGTTTGCGTGCCTAGCACCCAGCACATGTCCGGAATGAGGCAAGTACTCACTAAAGATTGTGGGACTGGAGTAAGCCAGAAGGGCAAGCAGGACCAGGCGCTGGGAGCCGGGGCGTCTCTTCTCTTCTTGCCTCAGCCCTGGAGCCGAGTTGTGGGGGGCAGTCACCAGTGCCGCGGACTCTGTGAGTGAGGACCATCCTCTGGGAACGAAGGACAGGAGCTTTCTTCTCTTCCTCATGGTGTGGCACAGTTTCACTCTGCCTTCTCAGCACTTAAAATCATAGCGTTTAAAAATGGAAAATCAAGGTTTGTCCAAGGAATGAATCTTTTCCTCTTTGCCTCTCTTTTCATGGGTTAAAACCATAGAATAACGAGTCCAGAGCATTAGGTCCAAATGGTTTTGCTTACAAAGGTGGGAAGAACTGGCCTTTATCTAATTATGCAAGAATACTGAGCGACTCTAGAACCTATCCTGCCTCCTGGACCAGAACAAGAGGGCTGGTCTGCCTCCTGAGTACTCTGCCTACTGTGTATATAGCAGCTGGCATTACATAGACACAGCACCATGGTAACTGGCACAGTCTCAGATCCATCCTTTTATTATTTACCCTTTTATCCCCCCTCTCTTAAATTGTCAAGAGTTGTGCAAAGAAAGCAAGTTCTGTGTGCTCCACCCAAGCACATAGGAAGAGCAGACTTTCGCAGGGCGACCAAGGAAGGGGAGGTAACATCCACCTATTGGAAGTGAGACAGTTCTGGAATTCTCCTCCACAGACTAGCTGTGTGACCTTAGAAGTGACCCTGTCTCGAGCTCCAGATTCCTTCAAGGTAAACTGGGAAGGACAGGAGTAGACTCATCTCCAAGACTTTTTGGAGGATTAAATACACTAACAAGTACTGTATGGTAGTTCCTGGGTGAAGAGTTCCTTTTCTGTGGGGACAGACAAACGGCTGTATCAGCCCCGGAACACCAGCGGGGTCTCCTGGGGGGATGGAGGTGTTCATTTCCCAGGCGCTCCCTGACATTTCCCCTGTCATCCATATTTGACTAACTGCCGCAGGCATGTTCAGACAGAAGTTTCCAGCGTGCAGGACCTCATCTGTAAACAGTTTACATCCTCAGGCTGCTTTTCAGTGGGGCCCCCGCAACGGCTCCTAAGTAGGAACCATGAACTCCGTCCTCAAGTGCTGCTGTTCTGCTCAGGATAAACTGAGCCAGAGGAAGGCCCAGCTACCAGCAGTTATGAGCAGCACTGCAGTGCTTGGTATCTCCCCGAAGGGCCCTTAGGCTCACATCTGGGGAGACAGTTGGTGGGAGAACTAGAAAAAAAGATCCCTCTTGTTCTTCCTGATGGGCTGTATTCCAAAGGCAGTGGTTGACAGGAGCATCTTCTGGGCTTTTCCCAATCCATTTAAAGGCATCTAAAAGAAATGAAAATTGTCTTCACCCCACCCTTTCTTTGCTCTCCCTCTTTCTTTTCTTCTCTTTTTGTCACTCTTTTCTATTCTCATCCCCTAATAGGGATAGCTTTTTCAAAGTATCCTGGTACCAACAGCTCCAAACAAAGAAGTGCTATTTTCCCCTAAACTAAAAAAGCCTATTATAATAATAATTTTGAGGCAGAAAACTCAAGGCCAAGGTAATAAGTGCACTTTTTAAATCTTTTTTTTTTTAATGAATGGTATACTACACACTTGTGGGGAAAAGAATCCAATATAGGTATGTGGGTGTTTGTGTGCTCGGTCGTGTCCGACTCTTTGCAACTCCATGGACTGTAGCCTACCAGGCTCCTCTGTCCGTGGAATTTTCCAGGCAAGAATACTGGAGTGGGCTGCTGTTTCCTCTTCCAGGGGCTCTTCCCTACCCAGGTATCGAAACTGCAACTCTAGTGTCGCCTTCATCTCAGCTTTTTTACCACTTTTTTTTTTTAACCACTTTTTTTTTTTAAACCACTTTTTTACCACTGAGCCACCAGGGAAGCCCCCAATATATATGTACAGTATATATATTTTATGCAATGAATAGGATAAAAGCCTTCCATTCTCACCCATTCCCTCCACCCTCTTCCCTGGAGGTGATCACTACTTAGTAGTTTGATATGCATTCTTCCAGACATTGCTGTCATTTTTTGGTCATTTGGCAGTTATGTCATGCTTGCCTACTATGTTCTGGGCACAGTGATAGGTGTTGGAAACAACAGTGAATAAATGTATATAGATACACATACATGTATTTATCTGTCATATCTATTGGCAAAAATGGGCTGACCCTCAGGACTCGCCCGGCAGGCAGAGCGGCAGGAGCAGAGTACACCTGCCCACACCCAGCTGGCCAATGGTAACTGAGTTCACACGCTGGCCACCGCAGCTCCCATTATAGCCTGCTGTCCTGGTCATCCTGTTTCTAGTATCTCCTTCGGCAATAAATTCTGTAGGCACCGATAAAACAAGAAGGAAAGATGAAGAAATAAACTTGAGGACATGAAAAATGCAGCCAGACGAAGGCTGGCTGTGTGTGTGTGTGTGGTTTATTTTTTTCTTAAACATAGTCACTTCTTCGTGCCTGTGGATGGGGTAAGGAATGTGTGTGTTGGGGTGGGGGTGGGGAATGGGCAGTGAGTCCTCCCTTTGTGATTAAGAGCAGTAAATGCAGTTAGAGACAGTAAGAAGTTTTGCTCCATACTCCTCCCCACAATCTGCCCCACCCCAGTTTCCTGCTCTGGAGCTGCTAATGAATAACCCATCTTACCACCCCTCCCAGGGCACCGTCTCAGGCCTGGGTGCTTCGACAACCCTGAGGTTCAGGGGACATTCCTCAGCAGTTACTTAGCTGGGTGATGGGAAAAAAAAATGCAGCCTAATTGGCTAGTGGCCTTTTCTAGTGAATGAAGGTTTCTGTTTTAAGAAGTAAAGTGACTTCTCAGCGGCTGTTGATTCACTGCCCACAGGGAGATTTTGAGCAGAGGCTTCCTAGCCTCGGTAGAAATTTGCATACAGCTTCCACTTCCTGTTTCAGAGCCTGTTCCACGGCTTACCTGGGCCGGGAGAGGGTGGAGGGAGGCCTGGAGCGGCCCAAGGTAGAGTGGCCCGGAGAAGGAGAGAGAGAGCGCGTGACCACCCGTGGCCGGCCTGTCTGTCCTTGGCGGCTCTAAGGTAAGTGGTTCAGTTGTCACCTGACTGACCTTACTTCTTAACTCCTGATCCATTTTCCGAAACACTGTTTTCTCCTTTCCTGAAAGTGCCGTCTCTCTTTCCTCCGCCTGCCTCTCCCCACCTTTCATTTGTTGGTTCGTGTATGGAGAGACAGCTCCGGCTGAGAACATGACAGCTACGTGTCGGCCGCGAGACAGGGCCAGTGGTTTAGTATTTCAGACGGGAGAGCGAAGATTAACTCTTTGAGGAATAGACACACACACACAAACACACCCCTGTGTTTGAGGACTTTTAGTGTCCCCACAAGTCTTGATGAAGAAGACAAGCCCCCCCCCCCCTCACCCCGCTTCTCCAGGGAGGGAGCCGGGGAAGGCAAAAATGAAGACTTTGGATTCCAGCCCCGGGACGGATGCGTCAGTGGCAGAGGTGGAAGGAGATCTCCCGAGTTTTCTTGATCCCTCTTTCACTGAGGGGAAAAAAAACCAACACCCTGTTCTTGAGCCAGGAAGTCCAGCCCTGTTCCGTGCTGGCTGTGGCTCTGCCAGCCCCTCTGCCCCAGCCCTCCACACTCCCACACCACCCAGGCATTTGCTGGCACAGATAGCCGGCCTGAGCCTTTAGGAAAAACAAGGAGAGAAGTGCTATTATTTTCTCTTAGAAGCTTATCGAGCTTCATGTGACTGTCAAGTTCAAGGTGGTCTCTTAGTATAGGGGGATATTTTTCAATGAAGAGGAAAATAAGTAATAAAAACAGAGAACCTGAAACTTGGTTTCAGATTCTCCCTTCTCTGCTTGCTGACTCTGTGACTTAGGCAATTTACTTTTTTTTTTCCATGAGCCTGGATTTCTTCATCAATAAAATGTGGGTGGGGGTGGTGAGCTAAGAAGATTATGTTGAAATTCACTTCTAAGAAAATAAGGTGAGGGTGATGAGGATCCCAGAGGGGCAGCCATAGTGGGTGGTCTTAGAGGATATGTGTTTTGTTTACTGATGATTCAAATGCATTAATCTTACCTCTCCTACTAGATAGTCCCTGGAGGAAAAGGGCTTAATCCTTCTTTACCCGCTAGCACTCAGAATACTATCAAACACTTCGGGGGCGTTCAGGTTTCTTCCACATAAACTGATCTGATTCATTTCACTCATCTATAAAAGGTGAAGCCTTAGTCTGGGTGAAAGGCTGCGTGGCTAGGGGAGGGTACTAGGCAGCCACATGGGTCTGTGGGAGAGCTGCCTGGAATTTAGGTATTGTTTTTGACTCTAGTTAAATAGGAGAACACAGGGAGTTTCTTGAATTAGTTTCTGTCCCATTTGGGTTACCCAGGAAGACATGGCCTGTGCACTTGCCCAGAGTCCAGGCAGCACCAGAAAGCTGGCACACAGGCCTGGCTCCAGAAGGCTGTGTTACTGACTTAGCTGGAGCTGGAAATGACTCGTTGGCTAGACCAGTCACTTTGTGTGGGGCCTTTAATGGGAGGTGAAAGGAAGCTGTGAAGCACATCCTGATACCATGTAAGGGTGATGACTAGGATCCGACACATTATTAGAGGGTGGACACCCAGAATTCTTAACCTTTTCCAAACCACTATGTTGTTTTAAAAAAGAAAAAAAATCATTGTTTCTTTTGAGCTCATTCTGTCCCTCCATATAGTTCACACGGGCCCTGGTTGAGTGGGATGGGCTGACTCAGGGCTTTTGGTATTGCTCAGCTGTTTCTGTGGAATATGAAGGCCCTGGTAGGGTCCTCATCATGCTTTCAGATGACTCTCTCTCATCCTGGGATGAGAGGACAGGAATTTCAAGATGTTTCACCTGTGACGCGTTACTGATTTTTATTTTCAAATAACATGCACCATTATCTGAAATCAAGCCAGCTGTAGTTTGCTGCCAGCCAAGCTTTGACCCAGAAAGACCACCCACAGACATTCTTCATCTTGTGTCATTTGTAATGGAACAGCCTCTGCTTTGCTCAGTGCTTGGGGTGGGCTGACTAAGCGTGAAGTCTGGGCGTGTTCGGGAGAAGACTGTTAACTCAGGGATACCTCACTTTGGGGGGGTTCAAAGATGGAATATATTTAAGCCTGCTCAAAATTAAGGAGCTAGTGACTTTCAAATGCTCTGAAAATAAGGAGAAGGCAGTCATAGCTGCAGAAATTCAGAATCATAGTTGCAGGCACTCAGAAAGATCGGCTATGCGGGTAGTTTGCCTAAATTAAATCTATGTTTTGAAGAGTTGAAATCTCAGAAATATCCTGAATTCGAATCATTTTTCCACGACAGACAATTTTTGATTAGTCTTTCAAAACACATATGAATTGCAGGCAACTGCTGCATGGGAAAAAAAAAGAGCACACAGATGAGGCATATTAAACTTTAAATTCCTTTCAGATCCAAAGAGATGACCCCTAATGTTTGATCATATTTCCTTATCAAAACAACCCTGCAGTCCTTCCGTGAGAAAGTATCGGAGGATTAGAGTCAAGCAGCTCTCCCCCGGGCCTCTTCTGTTTCTTCTAGTGCATTGTCACCGAGGTATTTTTAGTTCATGAAGCCCAGGCTGTCCTTCTCCCTCAGACATTTGACATTCTTTGCGTCTCTTGCCCAGCAGGCCTCCTACTCACCCACATGTGTGTTGATGCCTGAGAGTTAAGCTTGCTCTGTACCTCTGTGCATGTGTGTTTGTGTGTGTGTGTGTATGCACAGAACTTCCTGGAGACTTGAAGCTTTAAAGTGGCTGAGGGAGGAAGGTGAGCTTTCATCCCGCTCGTGACCTGCAAAGCTATGCCAGTCTGGAGTGATTTCCTGATAAGGCAGCTGAGATCAAGTCGTTTGGGACTGACGGGAGCCCCCAGCCCTTGTGACCCCCTTCCTTCACCCTGAAGACCCAGACTGGCTGAGGTCTGGGCAGCTACTTCAGTGATGATGGGAACTTGGCTTTTCCCACCTCACTGTTTCCTGCACTAAGGGTTCCAGTGTTTTTCCTTCTTCCTCTCCCAGGCCGGGTTCCCAGGTCTCCCTCCCACCACCCTTCCTCCTCTGTGCTGTTGGCCCAGACTCTTCTGGGCTCAGCAGCTCCCCTCCAACACTCTTGCCTTTTACCTGCACTCATTCTCTCCCACCCCTTCCAACTGCCCCTTGTCTTACCCAGCAACATGTCAAAATCATGATTTAAGTGAGCCTCTGTCCTCCACCAATAAAGGACAAATTTTTTTAGCTTTTCCTTCAAAGTCTCTCACTCTTCTGGCTTCTCTTCCATTTTCCTTTCCTCCTTTCCATCCCTTCTTCTCCCTCTCTGGATTTTTTCCTTTCTGCCCCTTCTCCTTCATTCTGGGGTCTGGACTGAATTAAGAATCACAAACGTGTGTTTAGAGAAACCTTATCTGAAACAAACAAACAAAAGAACCCATGGGCTGGTTTGAGGTTGTTCTGGAAACGGTTTTTACCAGCTTCCAGCACGGTGGAGCCAGTCCATTCCCATTAGCCCCGTCAGCCAGTTGAGCAGCTCAGAGGCGTTCCAGAGCGAACTTCTAATCAGGTCGGGTCACGCTGCACTGCCTTCAGCATGCTGTGAGCTGTACTGTGCAAGACACGAACAAGGGCCAGTAAAGGTTCCCTCATCTCCAGGGCTCACCACTGCTTCCAGTCCTCTGGCAAACCAAGTGGAAGAACTTCTCTGTCTGGGAAATTCTGCAAGTAAACCTGGAAATATTTACTCACTGGAATTTGAACCTGAGCCATACAGTTCACTCAAAACCAACTTCCACTAAGCCAACTAACATTGGGAAAGTTTGCATGCATTTGGGTAGTAAATGAAGAATGTTAATGAGTTTAAAGTTTTGTTGTTGTTGTTTTTTAATCCAGAACTTTCAGACACTTACGGAAAAAAAATGACTCCCTGGAGAATGAAGTAAGACCTTGAGAATCTGTGATAGCAAAGATCTGATCCAAATTGGATCTGAGGCTCTTCCTAGCTGTAAATTTATATATGTATTAATATATCCCCCCAAAATATTCATGCTGTATGTCTCTAAGGCCCTTCAACCCTATGGTTGACCCAAAGAATGCTTAAAGAAAAAAATCCAAGCAGTTGGTAACAGCAAGACTTGATCATTTAGGGGCTAGTAATGTGGTTTATTACCCACTCCAGTACTCTTGCCTGGGAAATCCCATGGACGGAGGAGCCTGGTAGGCTGCAGTCCATGGGGTCGCTAAGAGTCGGACACGACTGAGCGAATTTAATTTCACTTTTTACTTTCATGCATTGGAGGAGGAAATGGCAACCCACTCCAGTGTTCTTGTCTGGAGAATCCCTGGGATGGGGGAGCCTGGTGGGCTGCCGTCTATGGGGTCGCACAGAGTCGGACACGACTGAAGCGACTTAGGAGCAGCAGCAGCAGCAGCAATGCGGTTTATTAATTACTCAGGCTGCTCACTCCTGCCCTTCCTCTGCTTCTTGCTCTGCTATTTGTCTTCTTCCAGGGACATAACACCTTCATTAAATCCCATCCGTCCTTGCCTCAGAGGCGTCCCCTGGAAAATATCCCCTCTCTAGAGGCATCGCCATTTATCATCACCCTTTGTTTGTGCTCTGTCAACAAGTTTTCAATTTATTTTGAATTCAGTTTATGATTAAAATTTAATGAGATCCAATCAAGTGCCTTTCTCAAATCAAGATGCCTCGGCAATCTCACCCATATCCTCTATTGTAGTGGCATGAAGGAAAGCCATCACAGGTTTCCAGCCTGGCCATTCTTCATAAAACACAGGTGGCAGGTATCCACGCCCCCTTAGCTTCAAGGTGAATGGTTCTGAAATCTACTTATTCCAGAAACTTCTAAGGTTTACTCAGCTCCTGCCATCCCCTTTCTCTGCTGCCCCCAAAAGCTGCGCAAGTCCATGCTTCCAACCGAGAGGCAAGAGGGTTCAATGCACAGGCTCTGGTGCTGAACTGCCTGGATTTGAACCCTAGCTCTGCTCTTTACAAGTTACTTGACCTCCC